TGTCCCGCGCGCTCATATGACCTTATGCAGTTGCGAGCGCCGTAAAACACTTACAAAAACAAACAAACAAACAAAAAATGAGAGAGAATTAAAAATAATAGATCCCAACCTTGAGTCATGATATCTGAGATAGTGCACTCTGACATAATTCTGGTTGACAATGGAGTGCACCACGTACGAGACTCAGTTTGAGAGGGCAGATAAAACAATCGGTTTCTGACCTCATGGTCTTAGTAACTCAAAACGACCAAAAATGTCAGACAGAAAGTTGTAATTCTAAGGTAGCGGCACGCCCATAAAATAAATGCCTACGTCATTTTCAGCCATTTTGAGGAAATGAAACCCCCCCCCCCCCAAAAAAAAAAACCCAAACAAAAAATCCCCTGTTTCTTTGGAACAATGTTGACTCTGTGAAACGCTTGACTTTGGTACCCTCCATTGATTTTATAGTGAGGGTTATTCTTTTGTCCAGCCAAGAAAACTACAATATTACTAAGCTGGCTCTGCTCTTCATTTCAGAACCAACAACTCCAAACCAGCCAAAAAAATGACTTAGACAATTATCTTATGAGCGTAACGATATGATATATATATCATGACCCTCCCCTCGCTGCTTGCTTTTCCTATTTTTCAGTATTAGCAGTCTGACCTGTAACTTTGACTCCGACAATCTGTGTGGCTGGAAACAAGCTCCACTGGACGACAAAGCCTGGCGTTTTTTCTATCCCGGCCACGCCCCTCAGAACTTTGTTGGACCATACACTGGACGCCCACAAGCAGTGTCTGGTCAGTTGGGGGAGGGGGGGGGGGTCTCAGAGTTATTTAATGAATGATAATAATAACAATAAATAGTTTTTCTGCTGTTCATTTCCATTTTCTAAAAAATGCTCAATGTGCATTACATTAATAAAGATATCAAATTTGAAAAATTAATGAACATGTGTGTACGTAGTTCATAGTATTATATACATGTATGTGTATAAAACATTTCTATGAGAAAAATAGTCACGCAGCTGGTAATGCGTTTACTAAAAAGAAAATTAAATGCAATAAAAACTCACCGACGGTCACAATAAGATTGAAATTTGAATGGTTACAAACAGAATAAAAACATTCGATAAAACATTCGTTCTCATGGATAGATCATGTCTTGTGTACCAGTAAGTGGCGACAGAAAAACGTTAAGGTGGATGGGCCTGAATATTATTTCAATCTGAGTATGCTGAATTTAAAATGTTATAGGTTTCCCTCGTCCTCCTCTTCATTGTCCTTCTCCTCCCTCTCCCACTCGTCCTTCTCGTCTCCCACCCTCCTTGTCCTGCTCGTCCTTATTCTCCGACTGCTATTCCTCCTCGTCCTCCCCCCTCGTCCTCCGCCTCCTCGTCCTCCTCCACCCCTCTTCCTCCCCCTCTTCTTCCTCATCCTCCCCCTTTTCCCATCCTACTCGCTTCCCTCTCCTCCTCCCACTCCTCCGTCTTCTCTTCCTTTTTCTTCCTCCTCCTCATCGTCGTCGTCGTCGTCGTCATCGTCCTCCTCATACTCAGCCTCTTCCCCCCTCTTCTTCCTCATCCTACTCCTTCCCCCCTCCTCCTCCCCCTCCTCCTCCTCCTCCTCTTCCTCCTCCTCTCCCCTCCTCC